AAATCTCTTTGTTTGGGCTGCATATTTTTATTTTATTTATTGCAGTAAAAATGATCAGCGCTATTAAGACATTAACGCACTGAAATCATGTTAAGCGCATTAAACACACCGACGTATTTTATTGCTTCTCTCAGGGGGCTCATTTAATTGTTATAGACAATCATTTGCAGCTGGCTGCTTAATTGTTGGACACTATTCAAATCTGGCACAGTGTCCTGTCAACATGATGGATCTCTCCCATCAGCTGGCTTGCGTAAAAGTGTTTGCTTGTTTCACGTGTAATTACCAATATTATGTGCATTGTATAAAACAGATGTTTGTTATCATCTCTTTAGATTGCACTCAATATTTCTGACATGATTACCCAGTTTCCTATTTCCTTTGCTGTCTTTGGTCTGCAATCAGTAACAAGAGATTGATTGTTAACATAAGACTGTCCCGCAATCGATGCACATTTAAAACTATTACCAGACAAGGAGGGAATTTACACTTCAACAGGATCAGAGCAACGCTGTACAAGGTAAAGTTCTTGGTCACGGGTGCCTCCTTTATAACAGGTTATCTTACATTCATTTACTTTCTCGTCTGGACAGCATTTGCTATATCAGACTGGATTTTGATATATGGATGCTTTCACATATATGAGAATTATGTAATATGAAATTATGGTTGACACTAGCTGGATTCCAAAGTATATTGTCTTCTCTTCATCATAAATCATAGCAGGTTTTGGTAGCTCCTGGACTAATCATAGAACTATAGCAGGAAACTCTTGGGATTTGCCCCATAGGGTCTAGAAATCCCTCTCAAACACAGCCCAATCTTCTGGTTTAATTTCCGTTGGGAATTTTACAGACCACATATATGTCATGACTCCAAAAATCGCGGGTTTGTAGACTGCTACTGCCCCTCAGTACAGCAAGTACTCCATGTAGACCTCTAGCAGGATTCTGATAAGTTATAGAGTGAAGTCAAACTGCAGACATGCCAGTTTCTTTTTTTAAATTTGCCATTTTTGTTGGTTTATTTATTCTGCCTATGTCCCATTTGGGATAAAATAGCAGCCCCAGATGCACTTTCCCCATCATGGTAAAGAGGACATCTTTATTTAAAATGGAACATTTTGCGTCATTTCATTTGGTCATTTAATAGCAAATTTCTACAGATTTTTTTTTTTCTCACATACATGTTGAATTCTATCAGTGAATTTCACAGACTTGGACTGTCCTATTACTTCAGAGACCGTATTTCTCTGTGTCACTAAGTACAGGAACACTCATACATTTGTCAGATCTTTGCTGAGGCACAAAATGCGTTGGTGTCTTCATGGTGGTACCTTCCCCCTACTGTCTAGCTCCAACCGAAAATTTTAAATGAAGCAATTAAGGTGCCTGGTTTTAAATGTATTTGCACAATTTGGGTATTTTTTCCCTGCCTGCTTTTTTTTTTTTTTTAATTCTTTTTATTTTTGTAAGTGCAAGTTTAAACACAAAAGCAGGCAGTGTCACAACAGCTGCATGCACAGTAGATGAAGACACAGTATAACAGTGGTGTGGCGAACTGTAGCAGGCACAATTTTACATTTTATCTTAATAAATACAAGAGCTAGAAGTGAATATATAACAGGTTAGGATATATTAGGTAGTGTAACTTTGTCTGTGCCGCTTCTTGGTGGCCGACGAACCTACAAGGTCGTGCTATCAACTGTCCCTGTCCTCTTTAGCTTGGGGGTAGGGTTGGGGACAAGCTCTAGGGACGTGTGTGCTATAGCGGCTAGAGGCAATAGTGGTATGTGACATAGTCTTATGGCTCCTTGACCCCGGAGTCTGTGGGGGGGAAGTATACCTTCCGCAAGGTAGATGTGCGGAGTGTGTGACATTGGCGCCATGGGCTTAGTGACATCATAGTTATTATGGCTTAGTGATGTTAATATATCTGGCTTCACGATAAGACAATAATTATTAAAACTAAACAGTAATTAAACCAGGAAAACAGAAAAACAATACGTAGATGTGGGAGCCAAGCCCATCTCCACCCAACATGTATTAGCACCAGGCTGGTTGTTTCGGCTGCGATATCTCTATAGCCGATGGCTGCACCATCGATTCAAGTGTCCTGGGGCTGCGTTGCCCCCCTTCCCTCTGATGTTGCCTGTCCCGCAGGGGTAAAAGCTTGAACATTAGCTACATCCCACGTGTGTGGGGGTCTTGTCTTGGTTCCTGCCTTCGGATGCCCAGCGCCTGCAAAAATTGTGGAGCCTCCTCCGGTGATGTCAGTCGGTGGTTGTGCCCATCTCGCGTGGCAATGAGTAGCCATGGGTAGCCCCATTTATATGGTATATCCACTGCTCTCAGTTGTGCCGTGGTTTCCTTAACCCCTTAAGGACCAAACTTCTGGAATAAAAGGGAATCATGACATGTCACACATGTCATGTGTCCTTAAGGGGTTAAGGGATGCCCGCCATTGTAGCGTCTGGCGGCTGAAGTCTTGATAGCCCCTGACGGCTCCGAGAAAGCCCTCCTAGTCTGAGCGGGATTTGAAATTTAGTATGACATCTCTTGCGGAATCAGGTGTGTTTCGTGGGCGTCCCGGAATGCGAAATAGGCCGTCTAGGGTTATGCTTTTGGCCTGTTTGGGCAGTAGGGTGGCCTGAAGCAGTCTCTTAATGAAGTGCGGTAGTTCCTCCACTGTTACGGTGTCTGGGTTCCCCCTCACCTTGAGGTTTCTCTGCCCTGCTGCATCCTCCAGCTGCCCCATTCGAGTATTCAGCGGTGTGCACATGGCTGTTAGTTCCAGCGTTTGAGTGGCCGTAGCTTCTTGCTGGGCTTTCTGGTCTTGGACCCCGTCTTCCGCAGCTTGTATGCGGCCCGTGAGCGTTGTCAGCTCTGACTTGAGGCCTGCTAGTTCCGCCACGAAAAAGGCCTTGAGATCTGTCACCATACCGGACAAGTCGACTTTAGTGGCTAGTTGGTGTTCTGGTTGCCTCGGAGGTGCATTCTGCTGCCTCCGTTGGGGTATCTGGGTCGGCATGTCGCCTAGGTATTCGTCTTCTGATGCTGAAAGTGACTCCATCCCCATGTCGTGGTAGGCGTCCGCCATTTTGGGCCTGCATGTTTGGGACATGAGCTGCCCGATATCGTGGGTATGACCTGTGGTTTGCCCTCAGGGTTTTCGGGAGTGCTTCCCCATTGTTTACTGTGTCCACCGTAAGGCTTTTTGGGTGAGCTTTAAGGCTTTATCAGAGCAACTATGTCGGAGCTCGGGTGCCATGCGTCTTGTCCGCTCAGCCGTTAGCTCCGCCCCCCTCTTGCCTGCTTTTTTGACTGTTTAAATGTTGAATGTTTTAATACAGGCTCAGTACCATACATTAGTTTCTCACGGGACAACTCTATCCAAACTTATAGCACATCAAATTGAAGGCAAGTGCTAATATTGCCTCTTTGCGTTTTAGGAGAGTTATTTGGTGAAATCACATTACGTTGAAAATGTTGCAAAATTAAAGCTAAAATATGCAAGCTGCTCCTCTAAAACAGCCGTTTGCCTAAATGTTCAGTTTATTGAATAAATCCATAAGTCCCGAAGCAATAAGCATCCACAACCAATCTAACTATGACTATATCAAGTTCACAAATCAAGCACTGCTACTCCAAAATTGGGATCTCTTTAGGGCACTGAACCTGTTTCGAATGCCCCAAATTAGTTTCTTAATTATTATTGGGCCAGCGACGTCTGTTCTGTAGGACCCCACCTGGATCAACACTTGTTACTACAGTGTACATACACCATGAGACAATTGGAAAAGTATTTAGAGAATTGGGCAGACTAGATGGGCCAAATGGTTCTTATCTGCAATCACATTCTATGTTTCTATGTGATCCTGCACTACCTGGGCTTATTGTTTTATTTTGTTTCTTTTAAAAAGATTGTGGAACATGTATGATTGGTGCTCACATTGATATGTTGTACCCTCCTCAAAGGCCTAATAATACCAGTGTATCTTGCTTTATCCAAAAAAAGAGAAACTATCCAGAGGTATGGACATAATATTATGGAAAAATAATGTAATCAATGGTTCCACCTTTCGTGATTTTGTTTGATGTTTCCAGAACCTCCTCACATGATTCTTTCTATCTGCACTCTTTTTCTTCTTCTTTATAATTCTAGCAATAACTTCACCTTCTCCCCCACAAAAAATACAAACAAAAACACATTTTTGGACATTATACGTTTTTAATTTTAATGTGATCATACAGACCCTCACTAATTATCCCTTAAATATTTCCTGTAACTTGCTGCTGGACGCACTTTGCTTTCCCCTTTGAAGTATATCTTAGCTTCTAGTAGCTATAAGATGACACAAGTTACACCTCTTCACATTCTTATCTCTGTCAGTGGTCTTTGAATAGTTGACATTTTGGCAGCCTGATGGCTTTTCTGGTGAGGACATTGTCCCTAGGGTGACCTTTTGGCTTTCTAAGGAAGACACCTGAAACCTCAAATGGATAGGATCAGAGGGAGATGATTTGCGCTCTTCTTTATGAACTGCCAATGAACAGTTGTGGTCTTCAGGAAATAGCATTTGTCTTATCTTTCTTCTACCCCCTTCATACTTCTGGAACCTACTTAGCACAACCCATTCTTTTTCCATGAATCCATGCTATACATTACATTTACACTTAACACCCATTGTTCCCTAACTCCAGTAACTCTGTTATTTATCACCATGTTGTTCATCACCCCGTATCCTGTCACTTTTACCTTCACATTTTTGGAAACATTTTGTAATTCTTTATTTTTGCTGTGCATAAAGAATACGAACAGGCTTGCTATGCCACAACAACTATGGCAAGCGTTTTAAAAGACATTCTTTCTATGTCTTTTAAAACGCTTGCTGTAGTTGTATGGCCTGCGATAATACTGCACACTTTAATATTCTAACTTAGAATGAAAAAATATGCTGAACAACTAGGAATGATTCCACCTCAAAGGGAAAGAGTGATGTGAGAGTCCAGAACACCATCGAGCATATCTAAAATAGAATTTGCTATTAAAAACTAATAAACATGCAACTGCAGTCGAAAAGATTGTGTAAAGATTCCTATGTGAAGAAGCCAGATTTGTCATAAGGGGAGATGAATCAGAGTCTCATGGGTGTCCTTCAGCCTATGCCTGCCAAAGGTAATACATATTCTCACTATATGATGCTGTGTAGCGTATTGAGAAACAAGAGTCGGCGACGGTAAATCAGGCCCTATTGGTGTTCCCCATGGTGCTGAAAGCCTCCTGGGAGACCTCTGTATTTGCATGTATGTGCCTGGATTTCCCCAGGTGTTGACACATGGCCTCTTGAGGCAGATCGCCTTAGGGCCTATAGCCATGTGTCAGTTACAGAGACGTCAGAGTGGCCATGCAAGTGAGGAAGGTGGTATGGCTTTTGGGGCAGGCACGAGGTACCTGTGTTGCAGGCTCTGCCAGTATTTTCAAAGGAGGTGGTCCAGTTGTAGAGATCCGCGCCTATCCTCTACATGGTGCCAGAGACATGCGGCCTTCTCCATTTTGAATGGGCTAGTCTTGGTAGCTGCTAGAATTGCTGCAGTTTTGTAACACTCCTGGGAAAGTATTGAGCCCTCAGAGTGGGGACCAGGATCACCCCCCACTGGTCCAAGAGGAGTAGGGGGCACAGCCACAGATCAGCCTGCAGTGTCCCACCGAAGAGGTCGGCCGCAACCTGCAGCAGATAATCAAGCAGGTCAGAACACTGCCGCCATAAACGTCAGGGAACTTCCCAGGAGTGCCCAGCGACACTTGGACACCTCCTGGTAGCTGCTCTGCTCAATTCAGCAGTTGTGACAGCAGGCTTGCTGTGATATATTGCAGAGCTCTTGCCTGATGTGGTCACTCAACATGGCAGCCAAGACCTGCCCGCTTTTGCCCATACCTTAAAATTCGATTTGGGAAAATAATTTTATTTTTTTGTGCAAATTTTTTTTAAAGAAATATTTTTTTTCTAATCAATGACAATATGAACAGCATTAAATCATTATACTGTTTAGTGTGAGGGTGATACATTCAAAAAAAGTAATTTATTTTCCTCGTGTTTTTATTGCAATAATTCCATTGGTTGAACTTTTTTTAAAATCATACAGAGGGCCTAGTCCCTCGTAGGATTTATGCTTAGAGCAAGATGTAGTTTAATTGTTTAGAAGCAGTCTTATAAACAAGTCTGAAATTATATAGATAAAATTATATTAAAACCATTAGGTAGTGGTAACCTGCACCTACCACAGGGTAAGCCTTCTGGTAGCACTTTGAGAGTTTGGTTGGATTCCTGTACTGAATACCAGGATGGCAGCATATGCTCATGTATTGTAAGCCGTATTATAATGATTTATAACTTCCTGTACTCCACTACGATATACCCTGTTAGATGCAGAATTAGCACGGAAATTATTGCTCAAGTAATTAGTAATGCCAGTTAAGAAATTACTTTTAGTTGATGCAATTTTGCAGTGTGCCATAAAGAGATTTATTTTGGAAATGTCTTAGTATGTGCATCATTTGCATTTAAAACCCATATTTAAAGTTATAACACTTGCTTTTATGTTTTTGACATTATTAAAACATTATGGCCATGCGGAAATCATAATGCATATCTAAGCCCCATCGCCGTGGACCTATGATGACATTATCTCAGTTACGAATAAATTACCCAAACTCATTTTAGTCCTTTTATACCAGGAGATGCACCGGTGGACAGCACTAGTGCCTGCTTACCTGACGCCAAATTATGGAATGAAACTGTCGACCTCAAACTGCTTAGGTGGACTCGACTTGCTGAACTACTTTTGAGGTTGTCCACGTGTGTTTTGGGGGAGGTACGAGCATATCTAGAGGCAGCCTACATTTCTCTGTGCCACTGTCCCCAGAGCTATATATCTTCCCTGATAACAACCCAAGACACATCCGGTTTATTCAGATGGTATTGGAAGCCGCTAGGAAAACCTTTCTATACACACATGGATTTCAGTTGGCAAGCTGACTTTGGAATTATGCCATACTAAGCCGTCTTATGTGTTTAGAATGGACTGGATCTTAACTTCCCAACATAAGGAGCACATAAGATATTTAAATTTTTCCAGAATTGGAAACTCTACATACAAACCTTAGACATTGAAAGTAAAACACTTATCCGAAAAAACATTTCAATGCACCAGCTGGTGTACCTTGAAAATACTTTCGGGGAACCTCCAATCAGACTCCAACAGTAGAGAGGGTTGAAGCACTTGAAAACAAGTCTTAATGGGAATACTACCTCATCCACTCATTCCTAGATCACTCATGCATTTCCATTAAGGGAGCGAACCTGCTCAACTTCTCCTCGCTATCCTTCCCGATTTGGCACATTTTTGCAGGGTTTTATTTAATGTATTGTTTTTCAATTTAACAACGCGTTCTCTGGCATCTCCCTGTTGGGGTCTCCACTTTTCAGATATACATAATTTAGAATGCTTTTTCTTTATTTTAATGGAATTGATCTTCTGAGGTGTTCGGAAGTGTAACCTCAACACTCATACTGTAGCTAACCGACTGCATTATTTCTAATAAAAATGTTGGACGGGGGGACATAAGGCATTTTAATCTAGCTCACATTCCATTGATTTTACTACTGTGTCATTGTCTTTTATGTATTAAATGCTATGATTTTTATATAAATCCCCTCTCCATTCACACTATAGGTTCATACATCCCAAAGTTTGGAGATATGAATGATTTAAAGAATATTTGACTTTGAGATAACATTTGTACCTTTAATGCTGAATACACCTATTATATCTGTATAAATAGAGGGGGGGCTTTATGTAAACTGTGATTATATGGCCTTTTTTGGTCACGACTTGGCAACAAACAGAAGAAACACTGACATTCATTCAATAAACTGTGAATTAATAACCAAATTACAAACCTGAGACCATAAACTGTAACTATAACTTGGAGATGGTTTGCAACTCACCACTTTTTCCTTAAATTTTGTAATTTGGGGGAGCGTGGCCTGAGCACGGAGCTGATCAGTCGCATGTAGGCAGAGCTCCTCGCCGAAACTAGGCCTAAAAGCATACAACAGCTATCAAAGGTGATAATTACCCGCACCAACAGCATTGCGATGGACAAAAGAACCCCAAGAAAACCCCCAAAGAAGACGCCCGACTCGGGGGCAACGGTGGCAGACCTTTTTGCGGCTTCCTGCGCAGCTCTGACCGAGCACCAAGATGGCGGACGGAGCAGCCCGCAGGCCTCACAGACGCCGCTGAGGTCCAGTACTCCCACACACTCCAACTCATCTGGCATAGAGACAAATCAAATCCTGGTGAAACTCATGGAGGTAAAAACCTACCTGGCTGGAGAGATCACCAAGACCACCAACGAGGTAAAAGCAGAGATAGTTGTGCTGGGCCACAGGGCGGCAGTCCTGGAGCAGTTACAGGAGTCCACAACCAGGTCCCAAAACGCTGTAGCCACGCAGGTACAACAACTCACCATGAGGCTCACGTTGGTGGAGGCAGCCCTGGAAGACCTGGCAAACCGCTCCAGATGCAACAACATCAGGCTGCGTGGCCTCCTGGAGTGAGATGGGGAAGGGCCCCTGACATGCTGTGCTGGCAGTCTTCAAGCCTCTTCTGCTTGATATACCTGACCACCACTGGCCCCTAGACAGACCGCACAGAGCATTAAAACCATGTAGTATGCAAAACAACTCAGGGATGTGATAAGATTCCAGCACTTCCAAACAAAGACTCTCATGAAGTGCAGCAGGAAAGGTACAATTCAGCATATAGTAGCGACACTATTATACCAAGACCTTTCCCCAGTTACCTTACAGAGACACAGTGAGTGGAGACCAGTTACACTCCTCCTGAGAACAAACCACATTAAATACGCCTGCGGGTACCCGTTTAAATTGATGGCGTTTAAACTTGGCAGATCCAGAATACTGCAACCAGATGGAGATGCCACAGCTTTCCTGCAGGCCATGACATTCTTGCCCCAGTGGAGTTCACGTGGCCCACAACTGCAGCAGTAGAAATGCTGATGCTCCCTAGGGAATGGTATACGGCGGGGGAATGAAAACAGCCACTCTACAGCTGGGATGATTACAGCGAGGAAGGAACCTGCCCCCTGTCCCCGAGAACTGGCTTTGATTTAATGGGGCGTGCAGGTACCAGGGTGAAGGGGTGAGGTGGAGAAGACCAGTGCACATCATACACCGGGGACACCAAGCGCCTAAGGGGCTCATTACATCAGTTTATGCCCACCTTAGCTCCAATACCACAGACTGGGGAGAGTTGCACTATACAACCCAATGGGAAGCTGACCTTAGAGAGACACTAGAGGGTACGGAGTGGAGGAAAATATGGGAAGCAAACAAATCTACCTCGGTCTGCGTCACCCAACAAGAGCAGTCATACAAGACCATGCTTAGATGGTAAACCACACCACTGAAGCTATACCACATGCACAAAACCCCAGACGATAGATGTTGGCGAGTATGTGGACAAAGAGGGTTTTATGCACATATGTGGTAGGCGTCTTACTAGATAAAATCTTTCAGAGGCCGGTTAAACGAGACCCGTGGGTATTTCTACTGTCCAGGCCACTAGAGGACTGGACAAGATGGGAACAAAAACTTCTCCAAAAAATTACTGTGGCTGCCAGGCGAACCATGGCACAAGTGTGGCTAAAACCTGATATCCCCTCCATAGACAAGGTAATCCATAAAATCAAAGACACACGACTTATGGACAACCTGACTGTACAAATTAAGGGCACAGTGAAAGCATATGAAAAAATTTGGTAACTGTGGGTGGCTGCGAACTGGAGGTATTAGGGGACCGGTAGTTGGGAGGGACGGTGGTACTCGCCCCGAACCCAGTAATAAGAATCCCAACCCTGACCCTCTGGTGCGGCCGGACACGGGAACAGATTCCTACCCCGAAGGGGCCAATCCTGGGGTACCCCATATATACTAATGTTGACCCCTGCTTCTGATGCAGGCAACCACCATGACCTCTGAACCAGGAACCTCTCCACACATACACCACCTGTCTATTTCCAAGTTTTTCTCCCAGTTTTCTGTTCAAATATCCAACAGGTTCCACACAAGCGTTGGGAAATGTTTATTATGTTCTTTCATGTTATTAAAACAACAAAATGAAAACCTTGTCGGCACAATATAATGATGCGTAGACTGAGGAGAAGCCAACTCATCAGGCAACAACAAGACGAAAGAACCTAAGCCAACTATTGTATAACCTCATGTATGCAACCATGCTATGTAATCCGAATGCATTCGTGTTTTGTAATGCTATATGTGCAATGATAGCGACGACAAACCAAAAATAAAAAAAAAATGTAAAAACAAATTTGTAATTTGTAGTTTAAATTACTTCTATCTATTGATCAATCCACAAAAGCTATTTTTTTAATTGTCTTATATTTTATTCCCTTTTTAATAGACAAAACAATGTGCAATTAGTATTATTCTTTTTTAGGTTTTTCTTTGGGAATAAGAATATTTAAATCTTCCTTGATATTTAGCATCTCTAAATTTGGTTTGATGCTTATTTACTCCACCCACAGGGAACATTGTACGTAGCTCTTGCGATAATATATTTAAAATGAAAGATTTCAAAGATGAAAGATGAATCCACTCCTGTGAAATACTCTCCCACCGAGATGGATCTGCTTGCACTGTATCACTTTGATTTTTTTTTTCTCTCCATTGAGACCATTTTTAAACCACCCCTGCAGTGCAAAATTTAACTTTTTGATCCTTATATTTATATAAGCACAAGATCATTTTTTATTACAGCTTTGCTGAGCAGTCCAAAAATGTTTTTTATGTTTCATCTGTGGGATAAACTTGGCATTTCCCTGAAAGACCTTTGCTGTTCCAAAACATGAAACCACTGCATTTTTTTCAATTCTGGTCAGTTTGCTACAGTTACTGTAAGTTTATTTAATGACACTGCAAATATGACAGAAAAAAAAGCCTCTAAGTCATCAAAACTGTACCTGGCAAAGAAGATTCAGGATAAACAAAAAAAAAAGTCTGCTAATTCATACCAACTGTTCGAAGGGGGTGCATTGTAGGATTGTGTACCAGGCAAATTGTAACCCAAAATCCAACTTTATATAGCCAGCTTAATTAGTTAATTTAGGCATATATACTGCACATTCTACAGATAGATTCACACATTCACATACAATGATGGGTTTAAAAATGTAATGCATGTGTATGATTTATGAACACCTAGGATCTGATACATTAAACTGTGAATAATTCATATTTTTTTAACTTGTAGTGTGAGGGGGCAGCTATACACTGACCAGCCAACATTAACACCACCTGCCTAATATCATGTAGGTCCCCCTAATACTACCAAAACAGCTCTGATTTGTCGAGGTATTGACTCCACAGGACATCTGAACGTGTCCTTTGGTATCCACCACCAAGACATTAGCATCAGATCCTTTAAGTCCTGCAAGTTGTGAGGCGGGGTCTCCATGGATCGGATTTGTTGTTCCAGCACATCCCACAGATGCTCAACTGGATTGAGAATTGCCGAATTTGGAGAGCAAGGCAACACCTTGAACTCTGTCATGTCCCTCAATCCATTCCTGAACAATTTTTGCAGTGTGGCAGGGTGCACTTTCCAGCTAAAGGAAGCCACTGCCATTAGGGAACAGCATTGCCATTAAAGGGTTGTATGTGGTCTGCAACAATCGCTAGCTAGGTGATATGTGTCAAATGAACATCCACATGAATGTCAGGACCCAAGGTTTCCCAGCAGAACATTGCTCAAAGCATTACACTGCCTCCGCCAGCCTGCCTTCTTACCGATGCCATATCTTCCCTAATAAAACTATTCACATACCTGGTCATCCACCTGATCTAATAGAAAACTTAATCAGACCAGCAAATTTATTCCATAGTTCAATAATCTAGTTCTGATCCCCGTCCACCGCCAAAAGGGCCGTCATGTCCCCACTGAAGGCGCTTTTGGCAGTGGACAAGTGTCATCATGGGCACTCTGACCGGTCTGCGGCTACGCAGACCCATATGAAGCAAACTGTAATGCACTGTGTGTACTGACACCTTTCTGTCATGGCCAGCATCAGGTCAATGTTGGCCATGATAGAAATGTGTCAGACCTTGACTTAAGCCTGAGTCCTAAGCGTATGCAAAATACATGCCTGAAAGGTGGTAGGCTCCTCCTATTCATTGCTGATGGGTCAACCAGCAGAGAGTTCTGAATTGGTCTACGTTCTTAGAACTATAGCAGATTATGATTCACCTGGAATCCCCAGTGATCTGTAGATGATCAAAGGACCACCCCACACCGCAAAATCACTTCAGCTTGCTAGTTTAACCCCAGTTTAGAAAAGTGCTGATTTTTATGAGAAATCACAGCAACATTTGGACCTCCAAATAAAGTCTTTATCGTAAGAAAAAGCAAACAAATTAAAAAATACCTGAAAATATGTATTTCTTTAAAATATTTTTTCTTTAAAGCATTCTGCTTGCACCATGTTCTACTCAATATAGAGTACATGTCCATTAGAGCAATTTACTTCCCTACAGGTTTAACGTATGTGCCGCATGTTGAACTCCTGATAAATAACTACATGTGCAAAACCAACTGGGCAGAATTTATCATATAAATGACCAACTTTGTGTGGTGTGCAAAAGCCTTTGTATGAGTTATGTCTGGCTCAGAAACTGCTAACTTTGACGAAGACTAATGGTTTCCTACATACTCTGTTTGAACGTTTTTTTGTCATGGGGCCTTTGTGGTATTGAGCTGTGACACGTTACCATCATTTAAAATGTAGCACTCTAACTGTGGATTTGTAGACGGAAACTATACATTTTCGAAATGATATATCATGATAGGGAATGCAACCCATTTTTACCATACATTATGATCCAGAACACATTTATTTTATTATTAATATGTTCACAATTTGTACATCCATATTTCCTTGGAAAAACAAGTCCCCTTTCAGTGACACCTCTAGCTTTTATGTCGTTTATTGGTTTGTTGGATGGGTGCTGCCCGGAACATCTCAAAACAGTTATATAGTTTGAGCCATGTTTAGGTTAAGCATCCCATCTGCGCACAAAGTGATAAGTCAGTTGTAGGAGAGTCTCTTTGCTCAATTTAAGCAGTAGCGCAGGTAGCCGCATTAGACTACCTTGATTTTTTGGGGAGATTAGCATTCTGTGGCCATGTGGTGTCACCAAATGGCCATATCTTTCACTTTCGGAATATGTTCTAAGTAGGGTTAGTGTTTGAAATGGTGTATTTTGCATGTGTACCGTTTTTGTGTATGTTTTACCAGTTGGGTCATTTCAGCAACATGGGAAATATAATAAGTAACAGTAGTGACTAAAATGCAAGCCATTCTGAGTGTGATGATGTGATACACAGATTCCTATGGTTTTCTAATGCAGCTTTGTAATCTCAGAGAAAGCTCTGTTTCTGCATCTTCCTTGTAGTTTTCCTGCTGGAAAATATAGGATGGACGGACAGATTCTATCAGTCTTTTATTTTAATGCCTGGACCGGTTCTTTCACAGAGATTTTCCTTCTTTTCAGCAGTTCATAGATTCCAACACAAAATCAGGAAGTGGTTCGCCTTACTATGTTACTAAGTGCGGAACATACAAGCGTGACCTGACTTCTAGCATTTTTTCCCTTATGTGCAATCTGTACATTTTGTTTCTATAGCCCCTGGCGATGTGTGTCCCCACAGAACTCATACAGGGTCTCATCTACTGTAACACAGCACTAAATACATTCTGTTAGGATCAACATTATAATCCAATTTTATATCTGATGTTCCATCAAATGTTGTATTGTTCCTCCTTACATTATTGAATCAGTTTTAAATTGCTTATTCAGTCCTCTATTTTAATTTCATTAAATGAAATTCTATTTAAGGAAAGTGAACTTTACTATGCAGTTATCCTGGGTTACTCCAACCACCATGATCACGTCAGTGATTTGAAGTGTTCATGGTGCCTGGAGTCTGTATACATACCTCTCCAATTCTCAGAACACCGGTGGGAGCGAGTTAGGCGGCCAGCCAGTGACTCAATTGCCCAAAGGGAGCTGTCATTCCCAAATTACTGGCTGAACAGCCTAGCGTGAATGCATGAGAGATTGCCTGCCAGCCCACTAATGCTCTCAGCCAATGAATGCCTGGCAGGATTAGTATCTGGAGAAGCTAGATGCAGGTGACAGCCAGCAAGAGAGGATCCTTGGTCCCCAGCAGGACCAGGCAATAGTGCAAACCATTGCAAAACAGTTTTGCTGTAATATGGGGAAAGAGGGCAAGGATACTCCTGGTATCATAACCCTTGCAGCAGCTGTAGTGGTTGTTATATTTGGAATATTCTTTAACGGCAACATAGCTCCTGACAAGAGATAGTATTTGATGGGAGGGGAAATTCTCTTTGTATAATGCACATCCCATCACATTGTACCTGTCTTTTAATATAATTTACACTTTATTTATTGACAACTTAATGCTACAAATTCACGCCTTCTGTTGGTCAGCTGTTAGCAGTGGTAAATAAAGAATGTTCTGTAACTTAAAAACATACGTGCCTGTTTTATGCTAATATACCTGCATTCTAAATATATTTTTATTTTATTTATGTATACATTGAGATTTCTCTCGTTTTCAAATATTTTTCCTTTATTAAGGAAAGCTGCCTTTTAAAGTATAAAGTGCTTTAACTCAGGTCTCTATTGTGTGTCCATACCCAGTGAATAGAAAGTGTGGGCAAACAGAAACATACTATTATGGGCCTAACGTTTAAATCCTAACTTTTTAAAACACATTACTGTTTCTGTGAAATCAATTAACATTCTTCTCTCAGTCTTCACTGTTCACAAGTATGTCTTTGCAACTTATATTTAAATTGTGACCTCCGAGAACTAGTGGCCAGATAACCATTTCAAAAGACCGAGGATCAACAGAATATGCTCTGAAGTTTGAGCAGCATAGACAAAAAGACCATTAAGACATTGCCTGGCACACACCCAACGATTTACCGTAGGGAACCTAGAATAAAACTGGTTTTATTTTTACGTTTGGCTGCAGCCACAGGTTGCCGGATGTACAGAAAACCAGAGGTGTGTATAAAAAGGAACAGCACAGTTATCTTTTTAAATATACATTTTGTAAAATCATGCTTCTGTTTCAGTAGGTAATAATGTGTTCCTTGTTTGACCAGGCCATCGCCATCCATTTTAATGCAACCTATTAAAATGGATTAAAACCGGAATTAATCCATTCATTGCAATGGGCTTTTGATTAAAAAAAACCTAACTGGTTAAACTTGGCTCTACGCTCTTTTCATGTTTGGTGGCTTCTCTGTGGGAAGCTGGACCCCTGCACGGGGACACCAGCTAAGCCTGTCTTCACCACCTCTTGCCTATAGCATTTCTGAAAGAATAAAGCATTTCTCTATACGTTTTCAAGTGTGGGTTGGTGTTTTTGGCTTCCTTGTGCAAGTCTCTGGCTATCTGTTGCTTCATCAATGGAGGAGGAGACCTAGTACCATAACACCTAGCTCTGTACGGTACGTGCAATTTGGATAGATCTTCCAGCTAAACCAAAGTATTTCTCTATACCTTAAAATATTTTGTTTGAACAGACCGGTATATACCTGGGTGTTAAGGTTTTAAAACATATGCTGTCCGAGACTAAGCTAAATGTGACTTTTGTAAATCGGTTTATGTTTTGCTTACGTTACAGAAAATATGTATCATTTTTTTTTTGTTTATGATAAGAAATTAAGTGTGAAGAGTCCCTTATAAACTGGGTTAACGTAATGCAGCTAATAATTTGATGTGAAACTTAATTTTATTAAAGACACGGAGGCTCATATTATGCATAACTCTTTCTTTATTTCCTCAGCAGCAAAGATAGAGGAATATAAATATTATCAAAATGAAAGAAAAACTGTATAGGCACATGGGTAACCAATCACATAACAGAGGAAGTAGCTATATAAGTCCTGTGTCTCCCACAATCCCCCTCTTTCTTTGCTGCTTCCTCAGACAGATAAGTGTTTTACTCTTGTTGTTCTGATTTGTTTATTGATTATGATATTTCTTTGTCTTTGCGTTTATTTTGTGCATTGTTGTACTTGATTTATTGTCCTTAGTGTGCCTCAGGGATCCCTGGGGGTTTTTCCCCTTATCGAGAGGTCCTTTCCCTGCCCTCCCCTGCTCCCCGTGTATCTCGCGGGTGCTGGCGTCTATTGCTGCCGCGGCCATTTCTTCTTTCGCGGCCGCGGCTCCGTGCACTCCCCTCCCCGCAGGGTGCCCGGCCCATAAGGCGAAGGCCAAGTCTAAAAATGTCGGCTCCCACTCCTCGATGCAGGTGCTACCTGCCATGACTGACATGCTGGAGGCGGTCACAGATAGCGCGCACCCCACGCGCAAAAGAGCCCCTGGCCGGGCTAAAAAGGCTAGATTGTGGAAACGGGCTAGAGCCCTGGATGATGGGTCAGATACCGACCGGAGTGTGGAGGACGAATTCGACTTTATGGAATACGATTCCTTTGATGAGGGTGAATCTGGCGAGGATTTGCCCCTTACGGGCGTGACCCCCTCAGGGTCCTCTGCCAAGGCCTCTGGGGATACCAAAGCGATTCTTGACCCACAGGGTAACCCCCTGTTCGACCCGGACGACCTACGTCACACCCGGTCTGCTGAATGGGTCCCCCCTGATCATATTGCCCAGTATGTGGCTAAGCGTATTCGCACCCCACTCTCTAAAGAAGGCCGCAATAAACTGCGCGCCGAATGCCCTAGACCTTCCCTCCCAGACGCTGCCGGTAAGACCCCGGACATTGACCCCCAAATTGCCCAGTTCCTCAATAAGTCGGGGTGGAAACCCAAGAAGGGTCTTGACCACTCCCTGAAAGGATGCCAGGACAAGATCCTGGACACTCTAGGGCCCCTATCGAAGCTTTACGAGCTTCTCGACGCCGCCAGAACTGGGGACTCAGTTTTGGACGTGGACGTGGCCATTGGATGGGTCCAACGGGCTATATGCCTGCTGGGAAATGCTAATACAGCTATGTCCGCTGAGAGGCGTAAGGCGATCCTCTTAAAGATCGACCCTAAATTGGAAGCTATGACTGTGGCGGAACCTGACCCGACTGAGGAGGGCTTGCTGTTCGGCTCCTCCTTCGTAAAGGACATGGGCTCCTATGTGAAGACCTTTACGGTAATTGATAAGGCGCAAGCAAACATGAAACGCGTGTTCGCGCCTAAGGTTTTTGGAGGGGCCGGGCGTAGCAGGAACCGTCCACCCGGCCGCGGCTTCCGTGGCACGTTCCGTGCGGCCAGAGGTTCCTTTTTTCCCTCACGAGGATTTCAAGACCCGAGAGCACCCACCTTCTTTCCAGCCAGGGGCAGAGCTTGGGGGTCCAGATACCCCCGCGGTGGCGCTCCCAACAGACGTCCTTACGGTGAGTACCCTTTCTTCCCCTCTCGCTCAGGTTCGGGTTGCGGGGAGGCTGGCCTTGTTTTACCAAGGGAGGGCAGATATAACCTCAGATGCTTGGGTACTGCAATGCGTAACGGGATATCGTCTGGAGTTTGTTTCCATGCCTGTCCAGTTTTATCCCCCCAGGGAGCTGTCTCTTCTGCCGGATCAGGACGAGATGAAAGTCGTGGAAATGTTGTCCAAGGGCGCTATAGAGGAATTGCCCTTCGCCGCCAGTGGCTTTACGAGCAATTTGTTCCTGGTGCCAAAGAAAAGGGGCGGGGTTCGCCCTGTGATAAATCTTCGCCCCCTAAATGCTTTCCTACGTTACCAACATTTCCAAATGGAAGGCATACACTGCCTCAGGGACCTCCTGCGCCAGTCGGACTGGCTGGCAAAGCTGGACCTGAAGGACGCTTACTTCACAGTCCCCATTGCTCTAGAATTCAGGGACTATCTCCATTTCACATGGCACGGGCGACGTTGGCGCTTCACCTGCCTGCCTTTCGGTCTCTCCTCGGCTCCTTGGTGTTTCACCAAGCTCATGAAGCCGGTGGTGGCGTTCCTCCGAACCCGGGGGGTTCGCCTCATTATTTACCTGGACGACATTCTGATTTTGTCCCAATCAAAACAGGATCTCCTCCTACACCTGGAGTGGACGGCCAACCTTTTGCAAAAGTTGGGATTTCTGATCAACTGGGACAAGTCGGTCCTGACCCCCGCCCAGTCCATAGAGTTTCTGGGTTTCAAGGTGGATTCCGCTCAACAGTTTCTATTCCTACCTGGTTCCAAGATGAAAGCCATCCAGAAGGAAATCCAAAGGGCTCTTCGTGCCTCAGACTTATCTGTCAGGCAACTGGCAAGAATTATTGGCCTCCTCGCGGCCTCTATTCAAGCGATCTTCCCAGGTCCGCTACATTATCGAGCCCTCCAGCGGCTCAAAGGGTCTCACCTTCGGTCAGGTCAGTCCTACGAATCTCGGATACGTTTGGACACGGAGTCCAGAGACGAGTTGGTGTGGTGGTTGGCACACATGGAGGCATGGAACGGGAGAGCCATTTTCGGCTCCAACCCGGATGTGGTGATAGAGTCCGATGCCAGCTTGCACGGCTGGGGAGCTCGTTGTGCCGACGTTTCCACGGGAGGCAGATGGTCCGACATAGAGAAGTCGTTACACATCAACTGCTTGGAACTCCTGGCAGGGGCCTTCGCGATCTGCAGCCTTACCCCAGGACGGGCAAATTGCTGCGTTCTTCTCAAGATGGACAACGTGTCGGCGGTCCGTTACATAAATCACCTAGGGGGTACAAAGTCCAAGATGCTGGCGATGCTTGCAAAAGATTTCTGGCAGTTCTGCCTCTACAACAATGTCTCGGTGACGGCGGAGCACATCCCGGGTTTGGACAATTCGGGAGCGGATTGGAATTCCAGACACTTAAGAGACTCTGGGGATTGGCGTTTGCAAGTTTCGGTGTTCCAGAGCCTAGACAGGTTGTGGGGAGAATTCCGGATGGATCTGTTCGCATCGCACCTGAACACTCAGCTACCGAAATTCTACAGTTGGAGGCCGGACCCGGCAGCTGTAGCGACGGATGCCTTTCTCCAGGAATGGCCCAAGGGTCATCTATACACTTTTCCCCCATTCAACATGATCGCACGCACGATCTCGAAATTGGTTTGCCACGAGTGTCGTTTGGTACTTGTCACCCCTCTTTGGAGATCTTGTCCATGGTTCCCTCGCTTGATGGAGCTGTCAATAGACTACCCCGATTGATACCGATCTTCCAGGACCTCCTTCTGGATCCGGATGGGAACTCACACGAGCTGGTGATGCAGCACCAGTTACCCTTGATAGCATGGTTCCTTTCAGGGGACCTTGGGTTGTCCCAAACGTTCCGCAGGCAACTCTCCTGCTCCTCGATAACGCCTGGGCCCCGGGTACACGAGCAGCTTATCGAGCTTCATGGAGATCGTGGTCTGGTTGGTGCATGGAACGGGCTATGGATCCCGTATCTGCCCCTCTACATCTGATCCTGGAGTTCCTTACGTTCCTGTTTGACTCGGGCAAGGCATATCGCACGATCAACCTTTCCTGCTCGGCTATTTCGGCCGGTCACAAGGGTTTGGACGGTTCCCCTGTCGGCAGACATCCCTTTGTATGTCGCCTTCTCAAGGGTATTCGCCTTGCTCGTCCTCCTCGGCCTCGTTTTTCCACCTTTTGGGATGTCAACGTGATGTTACAGTTCCTGTCATCATGGTACCCTAACCAGGAGCTGACTCTCAAGCAATTGTCATCCAAGCTCGTGATGTTGCTCTGTTTGATCTCTTGCAAGAGGGTCTCTGACGTCAGGGCCCTGGATTGGGACGCCATTGCCTTCACTCCGGAAGGTGTTACTTTCGACATATCGAGGAGGACTAAGTCTGCATCCAAGTCGTTTACATACCCTAGGTTTTCAGGTTGTCCGGCACCCTGTCCGGTGGATTGCCTTAAGGCTTACCTAGACGTTACACTATCACTTCGGTCCTCCGAACTACATGCTCTGTTCATATCCTTTAAATCGCCTCACCGACCGGTTTCTACGCCTACTCTAGCACGCTGGTTGCGTTGGCTGTTATCTTCTGCGGGTATTGACACCTCTGTATTTACGCCTCATTCTGTGCGAGGCGCGATGGCTTCGAAAGCATCCACAGTCGGATGTCGTCTGGAAGACATTATGCGAGCGGCGGATTGGTCTCGAGAATCGACCTTTCGAGACTTCTATTTCAGACCAATTGAACACATCGCATCTCGAGTGATTGCACAGCTTTAAACTTGCATAATATGAGCCTCCGTGTCTTTAATAAAATTCCCAGATTTTACTAGTAACATGACGTAAAGTCATGATTTTATTAAAGACACGGAGGCGAGTATTATTCCCTCCCACCCTCCCGGTGTGGATCTGGGATATGAGATGCTTTGGGACTCTTTAGGTATGTTACAATTTGGTCTGTATTTATATCAATTTTGTATGGTTTTATAAGTTTTATAAGTTTTATACTACTTATTAATTATTTTATATTTTTCTATTTCAGGATTCAGTTTTGTCTGTGACTCCCGACGGCTATCTTTGGTAAGTCTGCAGTTTTGAGTTTGGAAATTACCATATTTCTCCGTCTCTTTTAGCTTGAAGTTGTCGCATTGTTCCCGTTCTTCCTGTTCTGATCAAGTGGGACATCGTTCTTCTTACCTGGTCTTCGGTTTTCGCAAGAAACAGGGGAATTGTGGGAGACACAGGACCTATATAGCTACTTCCTCTGTTATGTGATTGGTTACCCATGTGCCTATACAGTTTTTCTTTCTTTTTGATAATATTTATATTCCTCTATCTTTGCTGCTGAGGAAATAAAGAAAGAGTTATGCATAATACTCGCCTCCGTGTCTTTAATAAAATCATGACTTTACGTCATGTTACTAGTAAAATCTGGGAATAGTGTTATGTATCTGTAAAACATGTCTACAATGTGGATAGTGTGTCAGAAAGAGAATGTAGAAGAGATTTCTAGATATTCAGTTACACTATGTCTATCCAAGGGGGTTGTATCAGCTTTTGCGTTCTGTTAAAATATTTGGAAAACCAGTGACTCTATAGTGGGTTAAAATATGGGAAACACATCTAAGGGTCTCTACATCAGCATCGTAGCCTAAGCCGGTGTGTCCTCATTCCAGAAGTATACCCAGCTATTTAAAGGAACACTATAGGCACTATAACTGCTTCATCTCATTGAAGTGGCTACAGTATGTGATCCACGAAGCTCTGCTTCTCGCCTCTTCCTGAAGCTCTCAGCTCCTAACCAAGTCTGGAGATGCAGGACTTAGCTCATTGGTATCCAGACCAGATTCTTTTAAGGTTAAGCACCCCGCCCCTACAGGGGTATCCATTTGGAGGTAACTAAAGGAAAGCAAACATTTAAGGAGAGTCTCTGTAAGCAGTTTAGGCAGTAAGTATGGCGGTTAGCATGTTTTATCTCCCATGTTAAAATTAGTGTAGAACACGCCAATATTGGGGCCCATAATCGTTTGCTAAGATAGGTGATTTTAAGTAACCTTGTAAAAGAAAAAAGTGTGTGTGACCTGTGTTTTATTTTTTGGACAGTTTAAAAATAAATAAATTTATTTTTTTTAAAAATTACCTCGGGCCTACCGACACTCTCTGCAACTCTCTCCAGAAGCTCTCAGCTCTGAGCCAAGTCTGGCAGTGCATGACCTGGATCATTGGCTAAGAGTGATCAGCTATTGCTCTCAGCCAATGAGCTGGGCTTAGCTCAGGACAGCTAGCAGAAGCAGGAGTTTCCGCAGGGAGTAGTGTCCTGCGTCCCCCGACAGTTACTTAACCATTTCACTACTTACATTGGGGATACCAGGGAACTCCTCGCAGCATAAACCGTACAGCAAATAGTTTTGGTGCTTTGTTTTTCAATCGATTTTGCCATTTAACTATATATTATATAATATACACACACACACACAAAATATGTGGTTAAATAATGAGGATATATAAAACAAATTTGTGTGGTTTAAGCGATTCTTGGAATGATCAATTATGTGTAGCAGCTGAAAAACACTCAATGGGTGCTCCAAAAATCACCCTCCAATTCCAACAATGATGAAAAACAAAGTACTAAATATTAAGGTGGCAGCCCCCTATATCACAAAGGGCAAGCAGTGCAGCACTATAAAGTGCATATATGATATATAACAGGAACTTACCCCTCAATAGATGGGGTGAATAGAAAACACATGTAATAAAAAACAGAAAAGAAAATATAGTGCAAAATTGTAATGTAAAGGTAGTTGGTGAGAATGAATGAAAACAAACTCACATGATTTCGAGCCTTTAGAATATAGGCTCTAAAAATTGTCGCCCGTGTGCCTTAAGGTGGCATACACACCCCTTTTTCTTCCTTCTAAGTTTGCAGGTCAGGTTACCTTAGTATATTGTGCAAGGCAGGGAAATAAGAGATGGAAGAATATCCTGTAAGTACAGATAATATGAAGCACACGTATGTGAGAGTGCTCACCTGGTAAGGAGCCCTTAAGAACCGGCTCCAAGTTGAAACACTTGTGTGTCTATTGAGGGTGACACTTACCCTGATGAACCCGGGAGGAGTCTGGATCAAGGTGAAAGCGCACTCAGTGCTCTTTATTTGACTAAATGTTAAATAAAAAAAAATACCAACTAACAGTTAAAAACAAATAGATCTATAACTGTAACAGTAGTCCTTAAAATCCTCCAACCTCCGAGACGCGTTTCTCCTACGTTCGTAGGCTTTTTCAAATCGGCTAAATAATGAGAGTATGGGAGGTAATGATGAAGGAAATAAGCTTGAATTTCCTTGGAAAGTATTTGAATCAAACTTTTTTTTTTTTCCCGGCACCAAATCTGCGTCCCTCCCCACTTGCTTGGTCATGACCCTTCTCATACAAATCCACAACTTTGAGCCTGCCTGGCAGTCAGGAGGCCGAATGGTCACGTTTTGCCTCTAATCTCTTACATCTAGTATGGACTCTGACGCAGAAGGCTAGAAAGTATGAAATGGATCTCTTTTAACTTTTTCTGGCACTGTGCCATTGTAATGAAGAGAAGGAGTGTTTTTCCAAAGCATTCCATAATTTGTCTTCTTCTATGTCCAGACGGCTAATCGTTCTTCTTTTACCGTTTGCTATACACTCTGTAGAAAATTAGTTGCAAATAATGTTTTAAATAAACATTAAATTCTGTGAAATTATGTCCAATTCAAGTATACTATGACACTGGCTTGTAGCTACTGTTGTACAACTATAACGAACTACTTTTGAAAATACCCAACTAAATTAATCAGCATTTTTATAATTATTTGTTTTGTTAAATTTTTTTTACATGTTTTATGCCTGCAACATGACTTACTTTTCCTGATATTCAAGATAATCTCAGACAAAGTAACTTTCTTAGTTTTAAATGCCCAAATTGTGTTTGATCGCTCTTGTTCTGAAGATCTTGTGATTTCGCAAAACTGTCCTGACCACGCAGCTTAATGCATAACTCCTAACATTTCAAATGGACAGAGACACACTTTCATTTTAAGGGTGTCAGTGGGGGTGTGGCCAGTGGTGGAGATTTGTTGCAACTGAAATGTAATTAAGAACAAGTACAATGTATCTTATTTACACAGATTGATTCCTAAACATATTTATTATAGTTTTGAAGGGAAACTAAAGTCACCAGTACAACTTCAGCTTATTGTATTTGTTACAGTGAGTATAATCATTCCCTTCAGGCGTTTTGTAGTAAACACTGGTTCTTTTTTTCAGAGAAAATGCAGGGTTTACATTTCAGCCTAGGGATACCTCCAATGGCCACTCCTCAGATGGCTACTAGAGGTGCTTCCTGGGGCAGTGCTGCACAGTGTGAATGACATTCAGTGTCTCCACCCTCTGCAAGGAGACACTGAATTTTCTCCAGAGAGATGCATTGAATCAATGCATCTCTATGAGGAGATGCTGATTGGCCAGGGTTGTGTTTGGCTTGTGCAGGCGCTGCCCCTGATCTGCCTCCTTAACAAGCTCAGCCAATCCAATGCTTTCCTATGGGAAAGCATTGTGATTGGCTCAGAACACCACTTCTTATGATGTCAGTCAAGCAGACAGATCAGGGGCAGAGCCAGCAGCAGACTGGAATAAACGTACAGATTTACTATATTTATTAGGGTAAGAGTGTCAGGCTCTTACCTGGAGGTGGGAGTCCATAGTGCAGAGTTAAGACACACCCTTGCAATTTAACACAAACCGAGGAGACTCAAAGTAGAAATCTCCAAGGTTATGAGACAGTGCACTGTGGCTTTACAGGAAAAGTGCTTCTAGAGACGCTGTAACAGACAAGGGCAATCCAAGAGAGTAGTCGGGTACAGTACCAATGGTCAATGCAGGCAGCAATCAGGCAAATACGGTAAACAGACAGAGGGTCAAAGCAGGAGTCAGATGAATAAAGCAGTATCCACGAAAGGCAACAAAACAATCTGACAAGGAGGAAGTGGCAAGGCAGGTTTTATAAAGGCAAATAATTAGCCACTCAATCAGGAACCATGAACAGGTGTGAAGCAGATCAGACCCAGAGACACACAGACATCACAGGATGAGAAGAGAACCAGAAAAAAACAGAGAAGTGGCGACAAGGTAATGTCACTGACTGGAATGCACGCAGAAGACCCAGGTTCAATCCCAGCCAGGCACTGAGAAGTTATGACCACGCCTGTCAGTCTGCTTGGTACGGTGCGAACCCTGACAAAGGGTGATGGGCTACGGGGAGCTAGATGGTGTTTTTAACACTATAGGGTCAGATATTCATGTTTGTGTTGCCGACCCTATAGCGTTTCTTTAACCCCTTAAGGACACATGACGTGTAACATGTCATGATTCCCTTTTATTCCAGAAGTTTGGCCCTTAAGGGGTTAAAGACACATTACTGAGTGTATTATTGCTGTGGAGTTCTGTTATACACCCAGACACACCACCAATATGGAGCTCCTGGAAAAGAGGTACATAAGGGTAGAAAAGAGGGACAAATAGATTTGGCATACAGTAGGGATTGTCACTCATAAATAGGGTAACTCGGTGAGGTATGTTAATAGGGTTTTCAACTCTGCTTGATTACACAGTTACAATATAAGGATATTCTAATCAGTAAGCAAGAAATGCTAATTTCCTCTGTCCTAAACCCTTGACTCAACATGCTGGTTGGCTTGGCAGAAGAAGACTGGCTTTTTATTGCTTTTCGTGCCTTCCATTTCAGTACAGTTTCATGCCAGTGATTTACCACGAGGTTTCCATATTCCTCTCTTCTCAGAAAGCCTGGATATTCCTGAGTACCTGAACACACAATCTTAATCAAAAAACAAACTGCACCAGAAAGAGGCAGCATGAAAAGACCCATTCACGTTCTCCTTGGCTGTTAGGAAATGCAGCGGCTTTGGGCTTATGTGGGTCTGCCCTGATTTCCTGTGCTAATGGCTTCTGAATATATTTTCAGCGGTGGGTTTGTGGGTCCTGCAACATATCTGTGAATAATGTAGAAATGGAACGAGTCAATGTGTAATTATACAATTTTTGTCACTTGAATATTTGAATTATTTAAATTGTATGCATGGTCTATATTGAACAGAAGAAAAAGATTTGTAACTGCATTCCATTCCGCAGACTGTGGATATTCTTATATTATACTACACTGCTGAAGCTTCCACTCTCTCTCTTGTGGAATTGAATAGAATGTAGATATTCGCTAGCTCCTGCTCTGCAGAGAAATGACTGCGTTTATTACCCGTTATTAATTCAAATGATGTTTAGCGAGAACACTGTGTGTTGTGTTTGTGTTCTAGGTGTAAATGCACATGTGTGTAAATATGGAATATGTCACAACTTCATTATTGAAGAATTTAAGAAGTGAAGTGCACCAGTTAGTTTTGTTTAATTGTATTGAATCCCTTTATTTTCCATTCACCGTGTGAATGTTTATTAAATACGTAATTGTTCACACACACATTTTATTTTAGAATTCTGTTCATTATGCATCCCTCACCTCTCTGATATGATATGAGCAGTCAGTTCTAAATACACTTGTTGATACAGGAACACTAAGACCAGGGCCGGATTAAGAGCACAGTGGGCCTGGTGCTGACAATTATGATGGGCCTAATTACGGAATCTTATCGACCAAAAACACTAAAACAATCATACCTCCCAAGCGTCATGTATCTGATGGAGATGGTGCTGGAGGGAAACTCATAGGATGCAGCTATAAGAAAACACATACTCTATGCTAATTTCTCTCTAATTTATGCTTTCATCTTTCAAGTAAATCCATAACCCCTAACAGCAGTGTCCAGTGAAGCAGGAAGTCAATGGGCGGGGTAAAAGGGTGTGCCACTGAATCACGTGACAAGACCTGCCAAAAGGGGTGAACATGCCCAAAAAGGGGAATGTTTGTCCAAAGAATTGGAAGGTCAGCCTGGCATGAATGCATGTCAGGCTGCCTGCCAATCCTGCAGGCTGTCCAACTAAGGGCATACTATGCAGGCAGCACCCTAAGCTTGGCATAAATGCGTCTAATGATGCGCTCACTCCATTCTTTCTAAGGACTGTCCCCTAGCACTCGCTGGTCCACTTATCTCCTTACCTTCTTACTAGCAGGCAGAAGTTCCTGGTATAGTCTGAGATAGAGAAAAGGTGTCTGTAGTGAGTGTAGAAGAAAGGGGACATGCCACAGTGTTAGAGAGACCAACGTCTGCATTACCTAAACTAACTTTAATGTCAGCCAGTGCACACAAGTTTTGTTCCCATACATCCCTCTTAAGCTTCCAAACTAAAGGGACACTATAGTCACCAGAACAACTACAGCTTATTGTATTTGTTCTGGTAAGCAGAATCATTCCATTCAGGCTTTTTGCAGAAAACACTGTCTTTTCAGAGAAAATAACTCCACTGGCCGCTCCTTAGATGGCTGCTAGAGGTGCTTCCTGGGGCAGTACTGCCTAGTGTGCAGCACTGCCATTCAGTGTCTCCACCCTCTGCATGCAGACACTGAACTTTCCTCATAGAGATGCATTGATTCAATTTATCTTTATGAGGAGATGCTGATTGGCCAGGGCTATGTTGGACTTGTGCTGGCTCTGCCCCTGATCTGCCTAGTTGACAGTCTCAGCCAATCCTATGGGGAAGTATTGTAATTTGCTCAGACCACCACTTCTGAGCCAGCAGCTGCAGAATTGAATACAAGTAATATTCTACTATATTTAGGGAGGGAAGAAGGGGCCAGGGTGGTGGTTTTAACATAATAGGGTAAGAAATACATGATTGTGTTCCTGACACTATAGTGCTCCTTTAAGCAAGAGTATGCAAAGAGTAGTTAAGGTTGCCACCTTTCTTGGAAAAAAATACCAACCTTAATCATTTGTATAATTAATTAGTTATGCGTGTAAATCACAAGGAGTGAAAATTCTGTAAAATCACCAACAAACTACTCACAGTTTGATTCTGCTGTATAGACGGATTGCTCCCAGTGTCTCCCTGTCTCCCAGTGTCTCAGTCTCGCAAGTCACCCAGTGTCTCAGTGTCCCTATGTATCACAGTGTCAGTGTCCCCATGTCACCCAGTCCCCTAGTCTCCCAGTGTCTGTGTCCCCATTTCTCCCAGTGTCCCGATGTCTCAGTGTGTCCCCATGTCACTAGGATACTGGGGACACTGAGAGACATGGGGACACTGAGAGACCCGGGGACACAGAGACATGGGGACACTGGGAGACATTTAGGGAAACTGGGAGAAATGGGGACACTGAGACACTAGGGACACAGACACTGGGAGACATGGGGACACTGAAACATTTGGGGACACTAAGACACTAGGGACACAGACATGGGAACAAAGACACTGGGAGACTAGGGGACACTGGGAGACTAGGGGAAACTGGCTGGGAGACAGATACTTGGGGAGACATGGGGACAGTTGTGGGCATAGACATGGGGACATTGGGACACATGGGGACACTAGGCACACAGAGACATGGGACACAGACACTGGGAGACTTGGGGACACTGAGACACTAGGGACACTGGCTGGGGGACATAGTGTCTCCGTGTCCCAATGTCTCCCAATGTCCCTATGTCTCACAGCGTCCCCAGGTGTCTCAGCATCCCCATGTGTCCCCTAGTGTCTCAGTGTCCCCATGTTTTCCAGTGTCCCCAAGTGTCTGTGTCCCCAGGTCTCACAGTGCCTGTGTCCCCATGTGTCCTAGTGTCTCAGTGTCCCCTAGTGTCTGTGTTCCCATGTGTCCCCTAGTGTCTGTGTCCCCATGTGTCTCAGTGTCCCCTAGTGTCTCAGTGTCCCCATGTTTTGCAGTGTCCCCAAATGTCTGTGTTCCCAGGTCTCCCAGTGTCTGTGTCCTAGTGTCTCAGTGTCCCCTAGTGTATGTGTCATCATGTGTCCCCTAGTGTCTGTGTCCCTTAGTGTCTCAGTGTCCCCATGTGTCCCCTAGTGTCTCAGTGTCCCCATGTGTCCCTGCTGCCTTTCCCCCATCCCTCACTTACCTGAGCTGTAGAGCTGCTGTCTGGACTCTCTGTGCTGTGTAGCTGCTCCCCCACGGATCAGTGAGTAGTAGAGAGAGGCAGGGATATTCTGTAACTTCCTATCCCTGCCTCCCTCCACACACAGTGACCCCTACTGGCCGGTGCTGGTATTGGAGAGTAATTTCCATTTATTCTGAGAAAATTACCTGCATTTGTATTGCCGGTATTACTGCAATACCGGCACGGCCAGGCAGCCTCAAAAACCATCTGTGCCAATAAAATACCAGTCAGGAGGCAAACCTAAGAGTAGTGTGTAAAAAAATAAAAATAAAAAAAAAATGTTTTTTTTTTTTTTTTTTAATGGGCCTATTCCATGGGCCTGGGCCTGGAGCTGCAGCTCCATCAGCCCCTATGTTAATCCGGCCCTGACTAAGACGTTAGGAATACAAACCTGTATTCCTAAAGTTTCAGTGTCCCTGTACTTTGTTATGGACACCACCCCACCACCCCCTTTTTTAAATAATAATGCAGTAAAGGGTGTTGATGTTTTCGACTTACCTCTACTCCTCCCGTGATGTCATCAGGGATTCATGGCTTCCTCCACAACGGTTCAATCCAATACTCCTCAGAGAGGAAAATAGGAAGGCATGGAATTAGTGATGTCCCGAACGGTTCGCCGCGGACTCATCATTGAGTTACCGTATATACTCGAGTATAAGCCGACCCGAATATAAGCCGAGGCCCCTAATTTTACCCCAAAAAACTGGGAAAACTTATTGACTCGAGTATAAGACTAGGGTGGGAAATGCAGCAGCTACTGGTAAATTTCTAAATAAAATTAGATCCTAAAAAAATTATATTAATTGAATATTTATTTACAGAGTGTGTATATGATGTGCGCAGTGTGTGTATAAATGCAGTGTGTATATGAGTGCAGTGTGTTTATATGAATGCAGTGTGTGTGTATGAGTGCGCAGTGTGTGTGTATAAATGCAGTGTGTGTATAAATGCAGTGTGTGTATGAGTGCAGTGTGTGTATGAATGCAGTGTGTGTATGAATGCAGTGTGTGTATGAATGCAGTGTGTATGAGTGCAGTGTGTGTGAGTGCAGTGTGTATGAGTGCAGTGTGTGTGTATGAGTGCAGTGTGTATGAATGCAGTGTGTGTGTATGAGTGCAGTGTGTGTGTATGAGTGCGCAGTGTGTGTATGTGTGCAGTGTGTGTGTGTATGAATGCAGTGTGTATGAATGCAGTGTGTGTGTATGAGTGCAGTGTGTATGAGTGCAGTGTGTGTGTATGAATGCAGTGTGTATGAATGCAGTGTGTGTGTATGAGTGCAGTGTGTATGAGTGCAGTGTGTGTGTATGAATGCAGTGTGTATGAGTGCAGTGTGTGTGTTTGTGTTGCCTAGCCTTGGTGGGGGGTGGGCATTTTTATAAAAAAAAATAAAAAAATTATATTATTATTTATTATTAAAAAAAATTTGTTATATTATTTTTTGGATTATTTTTTTATTTTATTATTATTTTTAATATTTTATTATTAATGTATTTATTTATTTGTCCCCCCTCCCTGCTTGATACATGGCAGGGAGGGGGGCTCTCCTTCCCTGGTGGTCCAGTGGCATTGGCAGTTCAGTGGGAGGAGGAGGGGGGCTGGCAGAGCTGTTACCTCTCCTGCAGCTCCTGTCAGCTCTCTCCTCCTCCGCGCCGGTCCGTGCAGCTCTTCTCTCAGCTCACACTGTAAGTCTCGCGAGAACCGCACTATGACCCCGCGGCTCTCGCGAGACTTACACTGGGAGCTGACCGAGGTGCTGACCGGACCGGCGCGGAGGAGGAGGGAGCTGACAGGAGCTGCAGGAGAGGTAAGCGCT